TGTCTGAGCCCATGGAGAGGGTGTGCGGACCCCCTRGAGCCGTCCCTGAATCATCATCATTACCTTTATTGCTAGTAAAATTATTCCCATGAAATATTTCATTTTTTCTCTTTTGTACATATTAATTTCCCAGATGTACTACTTTACAAGAAGAACAGTGGCTATTCAACTGTTGGAAGTTATCAGAAGTAATCGATTCGCGCCAAGCACACAAGAATAACGGAAAAGAAGTATATTTACAGCTGTTTATCGCATTATTAGAAGCAAAACTTAATTATAAAAGTTATTAGTAATTTGGACTTATCAAGCTAGTGTTTCTTGAGAGGGGGGGTAGGTAGGGGCAATTTTAAACAAAGAATTTGCGTTAAAGATCCAGCAGTATGTTTGTTTAAAACCAATCTTTTCATTCGATGAATAATAAGGCTAATCACAATCAAAATAAAYGAATATGATTAAAAAACGCTTAAAGATTTGTAACCGAGTCAAGATAACAATAATTACATTTACACACCCCTCCCCTCTAGTTCATTATTCGAAGCCTTGCGTTCCTCCTAATTAATATGCGCGTGTTTGTGTACTTCGTACAAGTTCCATCAAAGCTTCAAAACAGCGAGTGACAATCTTGAAATCCAAAATAAGACTTCTTTTTGTAGTTATTAAGCTAAATAAAGGCAGAAATGACTGCTCTGCTTTTTTCTAAACTATTCACCTGTTGATGTCCTGAGAAGTTAATATCGGCAGTAATCGGATTCGCGCCAAGCACTCAAGAATAACAGAAAAGAAGTATATTTACAGCTGTTTATTGCATTAGAAAAACCATCTTGGGTAAGTAAAACGTAATTATAGAAGTTCTTAGTATTTGGAGTTAATTTTGGGGTTTTGTTAGCAATTATTATCGAATATATCAAGAAACTGATGTTCGAGTCGCCGTCTGAGCAGTCCAGGTCAAGGTCACGTAAACACGATTTTGAGCAACCTTTCAATAGCTCTTATAAATCAAATATTTATTTGCCCAAAGATATCTCTACGTCATTTGAGCGCAAATTTATTCTTCTTTCGATGTGCAGAAGCTTGTTTATTTCAAAGGTTTATCGCATGATGAAAATGGCATTTTTTCAAGGTACACTTTYAGCGATTGAAAATACCGTCCTCGTGACTAAAATTATTTTTAACATTTTAATTAAAGCAAACATTTCCAAAATCACACAAATGAATGTTAAAAGATCATAGTACAATATTTTGGGGTAGTTGGTTTCTAAAAATTATTTTTTCTTTGTAAGCGAGGCGATCAAACTTGGTTCAGATTTGGACGCTGTCGATCAGCAAATTTGGCGGTCGGCGAGGCTCGTGACAAAATCGTAATTTTCTCAAAAATAAAAAATATTATTTCAAAAAAACACTCATACTGCTGTTACTTGAGTGATTATATATCTTGTGGCACAAATTGAGCGAAATCGAAAATTTGACCGTTGCCATCAGATGTTTGATTTTTACAGACATCGGCTCTTAAAGAGTAGCATTAACAAGCAAGGTTCATTAATAAATCGAATTCATTCTTATCAAAGGATAATTGATTTGATTCTTTGATTTCAAAACTCATTATTGCATCTATTATTCAAGTTTTCAGAATTGAAATATTGTTTTGCTAACGTACATGTTTTTTATTTTATTCAATGTCGTACTTTTAAATATTTTTATAAAAATTGATATTTGAATTGAAGTGTCAAATCAATAATCAAATTCAGGAATGATGTCTACATGTTCATGGTTGCAACCATGGTTTGACTGTAATATTATTATGCTTACATAATTTTGTTTATAGTGCTTAAATTAACTTTGTGATTTAATATTATCTAAGGTCTAGAAATATATTAACACAGTGGAAACACTAATAAATTTATTTTGACATAATAATATTGTTAAGTAGTTGTGTGTGTAAATTTGTTTTCATTTGTTTTATCAGAGCAAAAGTGCTGTCATATCAATATCATATCAATAGTACTGATTTATGAGTCTAATGCTTGCACTCAACAAAAGGCATTTTCTAGATTTAAACTATAATATTATTTTTGTTATTTATCTAAGATTTTTTGCTTATATCGCCTAAAATCGCTTAAAGTAGCACTAAAACGCCTTAAAATTTTACTCGAAACCAGGCCATATTTTCTTAAATCGCATTAAATCGCCTTAAATTGCCATATGTCGTAGTAAAATATGTCGATTTAAGGTTCCGGGGTAGGCCTTTCAATGCCTCGAAGGTCATTCAAACGGTATAAAATGTCAAACACACAAATACAAAGTATGAGACAAGAAGTAGTGCCTTTCGATCAGCCGCAGCTAGTACGTTGCTAAAGCAACAAATAGACAATAATAGAGAGATAATCGCGTCATTATTCAAGACTATACTGATTTTTGTRGGCGCAATTATATTCCCCCACACGGCCGAAGAGTCGATAATCCGTAGTGTAATACAGTTAGAGTTTCAAAATTTACATGTTTGTAATTACTAAAAAATCGTAATTTTGCAATTATGGTATATCAAGGTATATGGGGTATGGTTGGTTTGAAGGATGGCACTAGTCAACAAAAATCCTAGATCCACCCCTGTGTAGTGCTAAATAAGATTTAGTTATCAACTAACTAAGAATTGAGAACAATGCTGCAAAGGAATTTAAATAATTGGCATTGTGTTTATGCTTTGTTGAATTCTTAGTTGATAACTAAATCTTATTTAGCAATTGTTTCATGCTTATGTGACGTGCACTCTATCAACGTTATCGCTGCAGCAACAAAACTTTTAAATATATATATAATTTTTTACAATCCAAAATGACTATATCGTAGAAGAAGGCAAGCGAGCGCTAATAATATCAGAGGTAAGGCTGTCCACAAGTTGCTCGGCAACTTTTGGTCAACTTTTTGAATTTCGAGCAACTTTTTCACTTTCGAGTATGCAGACCGGATTCTGCTTGCTGGTTCACAATATTATGTAATACGCTCCAATACACGTTCTCCGCAGAACACCTTTATTATTCTCTAGCTCATGTGTGTGTTACAATCATATACTCAAAGGTTTTATTCTAATTCTTTCACAATCCTTATACAGGTATAACTAGTTTTACGTTTATTGCAAAATAAGGTGACCTTGACTAAACTTGTCATTCATAATTGTTCCTAATTGTAGTGTTACTTATTGGTTCTATAATGGCATAAATTTAAAAGTTAATTATTTATCTGAGCTACCGATTAAGCAAAAAATACTCCATAACACACTCCCCCCCTTGACTCGCCTAGGAGTCAAGCATAGAAATAGCCTTGATTACATTTCTGGCCTGTATAGAGGCATTACGCTTAGATGTACGTCTAGTTACAATATCCCTATTTTTTCCGTTCCCAGTGAATATTTCTTCGTTCCTAACCTCTAGGGGGTATAACCTTTGGATGGGACGTGATATACGAGCGTGTTTTCCCCGGGCAATCACTCGCACCTTAGCCCCTCTCACAACGTTGTCCCTACCCTTAATTATCCCCTCTACCACTGCCATTCTCCATTTGTTTCTTTTCTTTCCATCCTCCTTCACAGTGACCACATCCCCTACCTGAACTATATCCTTACCCTGCCTTGACCTGTTTACCCTATGATGTTCTCTTAAACCTGTCAGATATTCTTTGTGCCATCTGTCACAGAATTGACCAAGCTTTAGGCTCATATACTGAAATCTCCTGCGGCAGCTTGCTTCATCTGAGACAACATCGTCTGGTTCTATGATTTCGTCGGGTAAACTGTTGATACGTCGACCATATACTAAATGAGATGGAGTTAAAACCTCTTCACCAATGTCGTTGTACTCGTAGGTTAGAGGCCTGCAATTTAACGTACACTCTGTTTCTGTTAACACAGTAACTAACTCGTCAAACGTTAGGCTTGCGTTTCCTAGCACCTTCCTGAGACACTGTTTCACACAACCTACCATTCTTTCAAAAAACCCTCCCCACCATGGCGCCTTCGGCAGATTAAAACGCCACTCTGTTCTCATGTTGGTGAGGTCCGCTTGTACTTGCGGGTGGTTAAACAGCTCTCTTAGTGCCTTCTCAGTTCCCTGAAACGTCTTCGCGTTGTCTGTTACTATGAGACCAGGTATGCCCCTCGTTGCTGTAAACTTTCTAAGACATCTACGAAAGCTCTCCACTGACATGTCTTCTACTAGTTCAAGGTGTATGGCTCTTGTCACGCAACATGAGAACAGAGCGATGTACACTTTAACACTACCCTTACCTGTTTTAGCGAATAGTGGCCCAGCAAAGTCAATACCTACCTTGGAAAACGGTGGGGCTTCATGTACTCTAAATTCTGGTAGAGCAGCTGCTGGAGGTTGTTTGAATGGCTTGCCAGTTTGTCTTTTGCATGTTACGCACTTACTCACCAGTCCTTTTACAACTTGTCTTCCTCTTGGTATCCAGAATTTTTCTCTCACTTGGGCTAGAGTTGCTCTCAATCCGCTGTGCAGTACTCTGTCGTGACTATCGATGACGATCAATTCAGTGAATCTATGATCCTTAGGAAGTATTATGGGGTTCTTGGCATCCATGCTCAGCTCGGAGTTAACTAACCTCCCTTGGCAACGTAGCACACCAGCCTGTTCGACAAGGCCAAGCTGAATAGACAGTTCTTTAAAGTTGTTCTGATCTTTGAGCGACTTCTGTGCTGCCTTTACCCATGACTCCTCGGCCAATTTGACTTCGTTCGCAGTCAGTTCACCCTCTAACAACTCTTCTCGTTTAATCTTGTTTTTGGCATTGGTTATAAATCTAGTGACCCACGCTGTTACTCGTACAAGTTTCTTAAGCGTCCCACACCTGTTGATATCAATAGCGTGCTCGATTCCAGTCTCCACGTCTTTATTCACTAGCAGATTATGTACCTCCGATTTCTTGGCTTCGTCGAGGCTTTCTTGTGTCTGCTCCAAACCCTCAGGGACAACTGGCCACTCCGATTCTGACTGGCATAACCACTGTGGACCGTTCCACCACAGTTCTTCACTCTTGAGTTCAATTCCAGACGCACCCCGTGACCCTAAGTCTGCAGGATTCTCAGCACCTGGACAATGTCTCCAATTCTCTTTACCAGTCTTTTCCAGGATACCGTTCACTCTATGGCGAACAAACTGTTTCCACTCTCCTTTATTCTGGATCCAACACAGGGCGGTCTTGCTGTCCAACCAGTATATCTCCTTGCTCACGCTTAGTTGCGATTTCAGTGCGTTCCTCACTGTCTCCACAAGTCGGGTCAGTATCACTGCAGACATGAGTTCCAATCTTGGAATGGTGAGCTGTTTCAATGGCGCGACTCTGGTCTTGCTTGTCAACAACCGAGCGTAGCGTGACCCATCTGTCAGCTTGTACACTATGTACACAACAGCACAATAGGCCTTTTTGCTTGCATCACCGAACCCATGTAGTGTACAATCTGTCACGCAATCAACCGGTTGGTCAAAAATACATCGATCAAGACGAATCTCTCCAGCTTGCAGCAACTCGTTGATCCATTTAGTCCATCTGGTCTTCAACTGTTCGGGTAGAAGTTCGTCCCATGCTAAACCTGAAATGCACAAATCCTGAAAAAGAATTTTCATACTCACCGACACTGGGCTATAAAGTCCCAACGGATCGAACAAGCTGGCAATAATACTTAACACATTACGCTTCGTAGGCTCCATTTCCATTGCCTTCTTTGCTGTGGTCTCAAGGTTGAATTGCATCGTGTCTTGGTGGCAATTCCAAGCGATCCCGAGGACTTTCTGGACCTGAGAGGACTCATTGCGAGTAATGGCTTCTAAGCTTACCTTTGCATAGCTCTCAGACTCGTCAACATGGCTGCTGGCGTAGTTTGCAGCCGCTTCTTTTTGGTTCTCGGTACGGTCTATCTCACCTCTAACGTAGTTGTCGTTAGTAAGCCACTTTCGCATCTTAAATCCACCTTCGGCCATCCGAGACTTTGCCTTGTGATAAAGGTTTAAGACCTCTCTCGACGCGTTCCCTCCAGTCACCAGGTCGTCCACGTAGAAACCCTCTATCATACGTGTGGTGAAATTGGGATCCAATTCGGCATACTTACCCAAGTGATGTCGGATAGTGGCGTTGAGTAAAAACGGCGATGCGTTGAGACCAAATACCACGCGGCAGAACCTGAAAATACTTACACTATTCTGCTCATTGTTTATGTCATCGACCCAGAGAAATCTCAAATAGTCTCTGTCTTTCTCGTCGACTTCAACATTTAGAAATGCCTTCTCAATGTCCCCAACTAAGACAACCCTGTTACACCTAAATCTTAAAAGGATATCAATTAATAGCGGGTTAAGCGAGGGTCCAACATGCAAACAATCATTCAAAGAGGCCGCATGCTTGCGCTCTTTCGCCGAAGCATCATAAACAACACGTACCTTGGTCGTAATCGCATCCTTACGGACAACTGCATGGTGTGGCAAATAGTGTACATTTTCAGCCATATCTAATGCTGGCACTCTTTCTATAATTCCTAGTTCCTCTTGGTCTCTAATTATTCTGTTGTACTCTTCTAGCAGTCCCTGTTGTTTGCCTAGTTTCCTTATTTGACCTTTCATGCGCGACTGACTAAGGTTATAATTAGATGGAAGTGTTGCGTGACTAACTTTCCAAGGCAATCCTACAGAATACCTGGTACCATTAAACTGGTTGTTGTCACTAAATGCCTCATGAACCTCGTCTACTTCTCTAACCCCAACACTGTCTAAGTCCCAGAGCTTCGCTATTTGCCTTTCTACTGAATTAACATGGCCACAGTCCGTCACAACTGCATTCGCACTGACATTGTTTACACCCTCACTCTTCAACGGTCCTGACAATACCTATCCCAGTGCAGTTTCGATCGCCACGGGTTCATCACACTTTCCCCGTAAAATAGACCCCATTTGGAAATGCCACAAATAATCCGCACCAATTAGAATGTCCACTTGCAAACTGTCCCTATTTCTATCAACATCTGAGAAAAATAAATTTCTTAAATGAGGAAAATCGTGCTTGACAACCTCAACATGCACATTACCAACACGTGTTATTTTAGGCACCACGTATGCCTCGAAGAACAATGACGTACCACCCCCCACGGGATTAAGTTCAACTGTTGCGACATCAACTAAACCACCCTCCTTAGGCATATCCCCGAATACACTTAAATTCAACCATTCCTTACGCTTAATATCTAAGTTATTTGAGTTGCTTACATTCTCCGTAACAAAGGACTTGTGACTTCCAGAGTCAAAAATTACCCTAACTCTCTGGGTCTTCCCATCCTTCCCCACTAAGATCCCCTGGGCAGTTTGTAGGGCAACCTTTGTACCAGTACCGACCAACATCCCAACACTACTAGGATTGGGTTCTACCCCTCCCCCGACAGAATTATCTTTGGCATCACAGATTGCGAAATGGTGATTGCCATTACAAATTTTGCATTTAGAACTTCGACAATCACTGGCCCTGTGGCCCTTATTTAAACAAATAAAACATCTAGCATACTTCTTAACTATACTCTTACGCTTTCCTACGTCCTTGATTTTCCGGCAATCCTCAGAGGCGTGATCCCCAAGACAAAACGCACAGCCATCCTTGCGTCAATTCGTCACAAGAACACTTCCGCTGGCCATGGTCTTCTCTCCTCCGCGCAGACGATGATTTCTACTTGATGACGATCCCAGCTTGTGGTTCTCTCGTAGCTCCACTTCTGCTCTCAACTTTTCCACGAAATCGCCTATTGACCACTCGAGGAACTTTTGTCCTCTCGTCAACGTCAGCCTAAGGGTTTCTGGCAGCTTTTCCATCAGCGCGGGCACCACAATGCACGAGTACGTACTGCTGTCCATCTTTAACGCTTCGAGGCCACGGAAGTGGGTTTCGACGAGATCACAGAATGTTCTAAGCCTCGCCATGTCCTTGTCGCTAAACACGGGAGCTGCATTCAACAGTCCATCCATGTGTGCTCTCTGTACAACCTCCTTTTTCCCGTAACGACGTTTTAAAAGCTCTACTGCCTCCTTGTAGTTGTTGGAAGTCAGGGAAAACCCCGCAATGGCCGCTTTAGCGGAGTCTTGTAGGAGCCCTCGTAGGTAGTTAAACTTGTCCACGTCGCCAAGGTCGTCATTTGAGTGGACAGCACTTTCAAAGGAGTCCCAGAATTCTTGCCACTCGCAGATCGCCCCAGAGAATCTCTTCACCTCAAGCTTGGGGAGCCTCGCATGAACTTTCTTAACAGTGGTCGAGCTTGACGCCGTACTTGCGCAATCATCATCTACCAAAGACTTCAAACGCATGATCACTTTATTCATCTTGCGACTCAACTCCGCGCATTCCTCGAGCTCTTGGAGTAGATTATTCTCGTCATATTCCTCACTATCTGCCATCAAGGATTCAATGTTATTATCGACCTCTTGTAGTCGTGACATCTTGTCTTCTAACGCGCCGAGAAGCTCTTGCGCTTCGAACTCCTCGCGCTCAGATGCGTCTTTACCGTATAAAGCATTCCCCTGCTCCACCAATCTTTTTGCGAAAACTCGATGGGCAGCTCTAGATTTTTTCAACTTTCGAAGATCCATTATCCGGCTCGAAGGACCATGTATGCAGACCGGATTCTGCTTGCTGGTTCACAATATTATGTAATACGCTCCAATACACGTTCTCCGCAGAACACCTTTATTATTCTCTAGCTCATGTGTGTGTTACAATCATATACTCAAAGGTTTTATTCTAATTCTTTCACAATCCTTATACAGGTATAACTAGTTTTACGTTTATTGCAAAATAAGGTGACCTTGACTAAACTTGTCATTCATAATTGTTCCTAATTGTAGTGTTACTTATTGGTTCTATAATGACA